ACAGTGTGTAGCAGTTTCACGGATGGGGGGAGGGCCGTTTTCAACAGGTGATTCTCGTATGAGCGCCGCGAACATGTGTTAACATATCGCAGCAGCCCCACGGATGGAGGGCAACTCGTTTCCAACATGTGGTTCTCTCTTGTACGCCGCGCGCCATTGTCTTAAAAGTTAGCAGCAGCTTCGCGGATGGAGGACCGTTCAATCAAGAAGGTGTCTCCCGCCTGCGCACGTTCGCCTTGAAATCTTGCAACCGTTTGAAAGGGCTTGTATGGTCGAAGTCCGAAGGATGGTGTTCTGGCGAGATTAAGGGCTCTCAGGATGCAGCCGGCACGTTGATTCGCGGTGCTGGAGTCCCACTGCTGATGTTCTGCCACGATTAAGGATTGTCAGGACGCAACAGTCACGTTGGTCCGCGGCGCTGAAGTCCCAAGAATGGTTTTCTGGTACGGTTGGGGTTTGGGGATCTATGGGCCACTTCCCGCAATGAAGACCAATTCTTGTATGGACCTCTGAGGAAGGAACTTGGAGGGAGGTCTTTCTACAACATTGTTTGTGCGTCTTGGGTTTAGAGGGGTCCTCCTCCTCCTTGGCGGAGTCGCAAAGCGATCAGGACGCTTTTCACTCTCCAGCTCGCCGCACCAGAGTTCTCATCAGCCGCCCGCCGGGCGGAAGACCGTAAATTGGTCAAGGGCCCTGCGGGGCCCGCAGAGCCAAACGGCGGCGGGCAGTGGACCTCCAGAAGGTTCTCTAGAGGTCCTCAAGTACACAGGCCCAGGCCGGGCCTCGTCACATGGCCCCTGGCGGGCCAGTATAAAAAGAGGCAGCCCCTGGTAGGCTGGCAAAATATATGTAGGCGCCTCGGCCAACATCTCAGGAAGTCTCAGGAACTCATAAGAGGACGTACGCGTCGGGCGGCGGATGGGAGATGGTAGGAACGTACGCACCCCGTCAGCTCCTCCTTCCTGTCGGATGCCGTCTGGAGCTCGAAAGGGTAAAAACCAGCGATCATCGACTGAGTCGCTCGCTGCAACATGGAAATATGGAATGGCTTCATGAAGTCGAACCGGTCGCCAGAAGCGCACTCAAATATGAAAAGAAGAACCTTGACTCACTGAGATAGCCAGCGTGGCCTTAGCCTTCTCCGCGCTGCAGAACGTCCCATCGCATCCTCAATCGTCCGCCAATGGACTGTGGGTCCATGTAGCAGCCAATGCCACTGGCCATCTTGTTCGCCTCGCCCTTGGTGATCTGCCTGCCCTCGGGACTATAGTGCCTCATCACGCGCTCCGACACCTTGATCACATAGGGAATGCCCTCGAGACCGGCCTTCAGCAGCTTCGTCTTGCTGCCCGCGAAATCAAAGTCCTGCGGTACCGTCTTGATCTCCACCTTTCTAGCCGGACGACACCTGGGGTCACGTGCAGCTTCGTCGCCAATCGTCTTTACCGTCTTGGCCATCCTCTGCCTCGTGATCTGGACTGGTTCCTCCGGATATGGCACTGCCGCGCTCGATCTCCATAGGCTCGGGCTCCTCACTTTCAACCTTCTTGGGCGTCCTCGTTCTTGTAGCGGCGCCTGTCGCCGTTGTCGGAGTCGGGCCTCGGGCGCGATCATCGCCTTCGTGAACCAGCCGCGGCATTCTCTCGATCTCCTGGGACTGTCGGATCAATGCCCTGATCTCCCTCGTCTGCCACATGAGTTATATCACGGCCATCGTCATCGCGAACAGGATGGCCAGCATAATGTAGATCACTGTATTATCAGATTCCTCAGTATGTGGCGTGGTAGATGTTGCCCTTGCCGCGGCCATAGATGATATCAACGCGGCATTGCGAAGTCCGAGGCATGGACTCGCCCTGCCCACCGTTGGGTCCGTCAACAATGATGTTCCGCCTGGTGTGGTACCCGATCCACTCGCGGTTGATCTGCCACACATGGTGCCCGATCCTCTCGCGGTTGATCTGCCACGCGTGGTGCCCGATCCACTCGCGGTTGATCTCCTCAGCGTGGTGCCCGATCCCCTCGTGGTCGGTCTTCTTGTCGATGAAATCAGGACTGTTGTTGGCTTCGCGGCCGGTCGCTTCCTCTGCGGAGGTGGAATCTCGAACTTCTTGGAAGCAAAGAAGGCAACCATAATCGCAATGCACGCCAAACTCTTAGTCAGGCCGTCAGCTACCATTGCTTCAGTCCTCGTCCAAATTAACGTAGTATTCTCTCGCGAACACGCTCACGAAGCATGGAAACAACGATGCGTAGTCTTTTGTCCGCAACTGAAACACTATCCTTATTCACAGTGACCTTCAGATTGTTGCTGTCCGTCGCGGCCAGAATCGGCCATGATGTACATAATCTCTCAACATCCTTCGGCTTGGCGCTGGCTGGCATATATATATATATATATATATACATATATATATATATATGTATACTAGAACCACGCGCGCTTCGCGCGCGCTTAGGTCCCAGCTAGGAGGCGAGCTTGAGTCAACGAAAGTCGCAGGGAAGGGGGCAGGGGGAAGAAGGCCAGAGAGCGCTGAAGGATACAAATACTGGAACCGAACCCTCTTGTGATTTTGTGGGGGGCCTCGTCCGGCCGCTCGCTGGGAGTTTGACGTAGCTTCTCGGGGGCCTTTGAACCTGTCGGGGGCCTCCCGGAAGCAGGTTCGAAGCATTTTGGGGGCCGAGTTGGGGCTTCTCGGGGCCTCCTTTGGGCCCTCTTGGGGTTCTCCTGGGGCCTCTTGATGGGCCTCCTTTGGGCCTCCTGGCGGCCTCTTGGGGCGGAAGGCTCGAGCTTGCGGTTCGTGGTCCCCCTCTGGGCCCCTCTTGGGCCCGTCTTGGGGCCCTCTTGGGCCATCTTGGGCGCCTCTTGGGCCGTCTTGGGGCCCTCTTGGGCTGTCCTGGGGCCCTCTTGGAAGCTTCTTGGGCCGTCTTGGGGCGGTCTTGGGCGCCTCTTGGGCCGTCTTGGACGCGGTGAAAGCCCAAGAGGCGAACATGCGAAACATATACGTTTTCCAATAGGAATGGCACGATTTTTGCTTCTTGGGCCTCTCTTGGTCTGCCTCTCGGAGCGTCTTGGAGGCTTCTGGGACCTTCTTGGTGTCATGACAGGCGTCTTGGAAGGCATCTGGAGCCATCGGAGCGCGTTCCGAAGCCGCCTGCGAACGATCTTGGACGGCGTCCGGCGGTCCGACGAGCCTCCGGGCCCCCGGGGCCCACATTTGTGGTCGGGGTCCCGGCCCCGGGCCCCCGGACCCGGTGCGCCCGTTTATTATATCTATATAACATATATATATAGATATATATATATATATAATATATATATAATTATATATATCCAGGAAAGAAGCTGTGTAGGATAGAAACTGGCCGTGCTCCATAGCCTCGCTGATGCTGTATGCCTCCGCAACTAACGTGGATCTCACAACTCGCCTGACTCGGAAACTTGCCCACACCAAGGGCACCTGCTTGTCAAAGCGTCCGCCCACAACTTCTCGAGGCGCGCAGGTGAGGCACAGCACTACTCGAGCCTGGCTCTTCTCACCCGGCATGTTCGCGAACGAGGAGTCACCGCAGGCCAGGGCGCACGCTGCGTTGATGTCCGCGACGCCCCTGCGAAAGTGCAGGCCGCACTTGATGTTCTGCTTGACGTAGTCCACGAGCTTGTTGGCATCGATGAGGTCCTGGACCTTCAGCTCTGACGTCCTCTGCGCAAGCCTGTCCGGATCAAAGGCTATGTCGGACCTCGAGCGATGTGACAGCCACTGTAGTTACCCGTTCGTGTTGCGAAACATGCTCAGCTCCCCCATGATTGCTTGTCCGTCTGGAACCCTCTTCCTGTCCAGGGCGATGGGGATATACTCCGCGGCCTTGACCGCCTTAGCCTGCGTGGCGTAGATCCCTGCCTCGCCGTGCCTGATGTACTCCGCAGTACTCAAACACCCCGTCGCGCCCCTCCAGACGTAGAAACTCAGCCATGTCTCCAAGCATCTTGTCGACCGACCGTGGGGCTTGCGGCCTTCCTGGCAACCGGCAAGTCGTCAACGTGGCTGCGCATTGCCATCTGGAGCCCCCCGTCGTATAATAATACCTGTAGACCCCGCGTTCCAGCTTGGGCTCGTATATATGCTTCCTTTCGAGGTAGGCCTTCAGATGCTCATGCCAGGCCCTCCCCGCGTCCTTGGTGCCGCAGATGGAGCCCTGCGAGTAGCACACCTTGCCCGGGTCCGCGGGGTGCCTCTTGGGCATCCTGATGAGTAGCAACCTGTCGATGCCCTCTGCCTGAAGGTAGGCCGACATCGCGTCGTAGGAGCATCCTGCCCAACCCTTCTGCGTCATGAACCCGAGGGTGACCACCAGAGCATCCACTGAACCGAAAGAGGCGTCGCGCCTGATGTAGGTGGAACTCTCCTGGCAGCCCTGAACTACCAGTCGAGACTTGTACTTGGACCTCTTCCTCTTCTGCAGCGTGACCACCCAGCGCATGCCCACGAACTTGGTGCCGCTGGCGAGATGCTGCTTGAGCTCGTGGTCTGGACATCTTCGCGCAGCTCCGAACGCCATCCACTTCTCCCACTCGTCTTTCATGGATGCCATGGGCCCCCTGATATCTGCGCCTGAGACGGCGTCCAAGTCGGCCTCCTTGGGCCTCGCAGCCTTGGTCAAATAACATCCCCGAACTCTCTCGACCTGAAGGGCCAGTGCATGCCGCGCTTGCTTTTCTTCTGGCTGTCCCGGCTGTCCTCTCGGAGGCCTGTTCTCGTGCTTTACCTCGCTCTGCCTTCGGCGTTGCTCCAGGGTCCTCTTGATAGAGATCGGAACGTCGTCGAGGTGGTCGTATGTCTGTCTCGGGGCCGTGCGTGCAGGCTTGCATGGCGTAGAATATGGCGTGGGTCCCGAACTTGATGCCGCTCCTCCATGATCCCGAGTCCCTTCGCGCAGTGGTAGGTCCTCCTCAACGTCGCAAAACTCGTCGGCAGCGTCGGCGCCCATCTCCAACTCGG